AGGTTTGTGCGGGGAGAAGGGTGCAACAATGAATGAATGGAATTCCAAAATCTCTGTAGATGTTCATTGAAATGAAAAATAAACAAACTAAATTTAAAAAAAAAAGAAAACTACAGAGTGAAAATAAAACCACCTGTTCTTTCAAAGATAATATAAAAAAATTAAAGGCAAATGAACACTAAAAAAAAAAATAAATCATTGGTTCAGGTTAGAAGCGCAAGGCACGCAGGAGCGAGGGTGCCGCGCGAGCGGGAACGCGCCTGCGCAGTGACGCCATGCGCGCAGCGCCCCGCCCCCGGCCCGCCGTCTTTATAGCGTAAGCCCGGCGCGCAGCAGCTCCATTGTGGCTGGAGTCCGCTCTGCATCGGGGCGTGTGTCCGGCGCTCTCTGCGTCTACACCCGGTCTGCTGCTCGCGGTCCCCAGCCTTCGCGGTCCGTCGATCGACCGCCCTCCCCAGCCTTCGCGCTCAGCATCGGGGCTTGTGCCGGCCGCTCTCTGCGTCTGCACACCCGGTCTGCTGCTCGCGGTCCCCAGCCTTCGGGCCCCTGCCCACCAAGGCTATGTCGCGCGTCTACATAGGACGCCTTAGCTACAGCGTCCGAGAAAAGGACATCCAGCGATTTTTCAGTGGCTACGGCCGTCTCCTCGATGTAGACCTCAAATATGGGTACGGCTTCGTGGAGTTCGAGGACTCCCGCAGCGCCGACGACGCTGTGTACGAGCTGGACGGCAAGAAGCTGTGCGGCGAGCGTGTGATCGTGGAGCACGCCCGCCGCCCGCGCTGGGACCGCGCTGGCTACAGCTACGGAAGCCGCAGTGGTGGAAGTGGATACAGCAGTCGGCGATCTTCAGGAAGAGACAAATACGGACCTCCTGTTCGTACAGAGTACAGGCTTATTGTAAAAAATCTTTCTAGTCGTTGCAGTTGGCAAGATTTAAAGGATTTCATGAAACAAGCAGGTGAAGTGACCTACGCGGATGCTCACAAAGAACGGACAAACGAAGGTGTGATTGAGTTTCGCTCCTACTCCGACATGAAGCGTGCTTTGGATAAACTGGACGGTACAGAAATAAACGGCAGAAATATTAGGCTTATTGAAGATAAACCACGAACGAGCCACAGGCGGTCTTACTCTGGAAGCGGATCCAGCTCTCAATCTCGAAGACGGTCACGAAGTAGGAGTCGCAGGAGCAGCTGCAGTAGATCTCGAAGTAGATCTAGGTCTCGGAGCAAAGGTCGGTCACGTTCTCGATCAAAAGGCTGGAAATCCGGATCCAAGAGCAAATCTAAGCCCAGGTCTGATTGGGGCTCTCATTCTCGCTCGCAGTCTCCCAAGGAAAATGGCAAAGGTGTTATCAAGTCAAAATCCAGATCAAGGAGCCA